AATCGGCCCACTCCGACTTTACAACTTTCCTTACTGGTTTTAATTAAAAATATTTATTTTTTTTAATTTCTTTTTTGTTCATATTTCGAAAATAATTTAAAATCTAACGACTATAACAAAACTAAAAAATAATAAATAATAATTATGCAAAAAAAAAAAATTATCATTACATAAAAAAAATATTATGAACACAATTTCGCAATGAACTCCATATCCCCATTGTTTCGGGGTGTGTTTGTGTGTGCATTGTGCAATTTTCATCTAAGTCCTTTTTGAGTCTAAGCGAAAATATTTATTTTTTACGGTGCTTTCAACTATTTATCGTAGAACCAAACAAATTCATATTCCTTCAAGTTATTCTCCTTTGGCAGATTGTCCTTTTGGTTTCGTTTGCGCCAGGTAATCCGTGGCTGGTAGCCATTTTCATCGGCCACATACTCAATGGTACGTTCAACGTCGTCATCACCAATGGCAAAGTAATTACCCTCCTTGTTGCCATTACGTTTTCCAGTCTCCGTGTGACCGTGATAGTCGAGGATATATTTGAAACGATATAAATCACCATCAACGCCGACGGCACTGCCAGCGCTGCTGCCCTTTCCGCTAGCGACGGCCGACCCTGGGGACTTGGGGTTGAATGAGCCAGCCACAGAATTTCCTCCACCACTTCCAGATGTTGGGCCAGATTTTAGGGGTGTCTTTGGCGAATTTCCAATTGGTGTTTGTGGTCTCACAGGAGACTTACCAGATGGCGCTAGGGTAATGGAAATTTTATTTTTTATTTTAGCATGGAAAAGAATGTCCTTTTTATGGCTAAAACTTACCATTGGGTGCTTTCACCACCACACCCTTTGTACCCATGGCAGCTGGCAATACCTTATTGACAATAAAATCCATAATATCCTTTTCCTTGGGTGGTGTCTTGGCTAGTTTGGTATTGGTATCTGAAAAATAAATGAGAATAGCAATTTATTATCCTATGAGTCCTTTTTGGGAACGGTAGTGAATAAAACTACTTGGATTGTTTGTGTCACCGCTAAGTAGTGGAATTATTTGTGTAGTACTGGGAATGGTCGCAGCCTTACGTACAAGGACTGTGACAACGGAGGGAATTTTCGGTGTCAGGATTTTTGTTACTTGGGTTGGCTTGGCCGAGAGAGGTATGGAATTGCTTGGTGTATTAGAGTGTGGTGTTGTGTGTTCAGTGGTTTTCGTTTGACTAGAAGTTGCGGTTGCTGTGGGTGTTTTTGGTATTATGCTGTCCTTAAATCCTTTTGTTTGAGTAGGCTGTGGTGTTTTTTTGGTTTGTGTAGATGCTAGGTTCGTCGTTGTTGGTGCTGTTTGTTTTGGTGTAAAGCTGTCCTTAGATCCTTTGGTTTCCACTGACTGTGGTGTTTGTTTGGTTTGTGTAGTGGCTGTTGTTTTTGGTGTATTCGTGTTCTTAAATCCTTTTGTATCCAGTGGTTGAGGGGATTTACTTGGCTTTGTTACTACTTTTGTTGTTGTTGGTGTATTGAATCCAAAGGTTTCAATGTGTGGTTTTATATTGGTTTGTGTCAGTGTTACTTTTGTTGTTGGTGTAGTGGTTTTGCCACCTCCTGTGGAAAGCGTAAAATTTTAATATTTAAAAAATTTAACAGACATAGATTTTTAAAAAGTGAATTTTCAAAAAATTACCAAGCGATGTTTTTTAAAAAGTGATCTTCTACAAACTATTCGGACGTGAATATTTTAAAAATTATTTTTCAACAAATTATCCAGACGTGGATTTTTATACCCTACACAACTATGTTGTCAGGGTATTATAGCTTTGTGCAGCCCCAAGAGTTTGTAACGCAGCGAAATATTGGTCCTAGACCCACCTTTAAGAATACCCATCATCATATCTCGACTAGTTGAACCGATCTAGACATGTGTGTCCGTCCGTCCATTATATTATAAACACGATACAGGCCACAGTTATGGACTAATCTTCACGAAATTTTTCATGTAGGATGGGTTCTGGCCAATGAAGACCCCTATTGTTTTTGGTAAAGATGGGTTAATATCTAGGGGATGAAATGGACCAAATACTTAATTTTTATCGGTTTTTCTAGTCGCTCCAGAGGCCACAATTATGACCCAAACATCGCGAATTTTTACATAGAGAAGGGTATCGGGCCAAAGAGAAATTACAAAATTTGTATTCTCTAGCGTATAGATTTACCCGTGAAGGACATATACCCGAAAAGTGGTTGGTATATCCAAGGGCAGTGGTCGACCTTTAAATTGATGCCAATTATATGGTCGTATGTACTCAGATGTGGGAGTTACACTTAAATATTTACAGGTTCTTATGTATTCAGATATTATTTAGTAACCCTTTACCACACTGGAGGGTGGAAATATAGCGCTGATCGCTTTAAAATGTTCGGTGATGATCAGATAATAATATTATGATGAAGTGGACCTAAAATATATTTTTTTGTCTTTTTTCGAGTCGATCTTTAGACCACAATTATAAGCCGAATATCACAACATAACCCACGGTAAAGGGACAAGTAATTAAAAGGGCTGTACTGAATATTAGTAATATTCCGAAAATATGTCAGTGTAAAGGAGAGGTGCTGTTGACTTTATCGGGCCAGAGCTTGCAAATATCACGTAATATTGCTCAGGCTCGCATTAAAAATCCGCAGAAAGTTAGAGTTCCGTGATAGTTGTGTAGGGTATCGTATGGTCGGCCCCGTCCGACTATACTGCTCCGCTCCCTGGGTTAAAATTAGTTTTCAATAAATTATCTAGACGTGGATTTTTTATAAAACTGAGTATCAAACATAATTTACCTGCTGTGTTGGTCTTTCCTGGTGACGAGTTTGGCACATTGTCACTTTGACCAGTCGAATTGGGCAACTCTTTGGATAACGTACGAATTCCTGTTTTGGGGGTTTCTCCTGAGCCCTGAGGCTTCGCCGCATCCTTCTTACCGTTACTCAAGAAACAACCCGAACATGCTTCATTGTAAAAATTGTGATGAGGCAAATCTTCTTTGGGTTTGGCTGTCGTTGTTGTGGTTGGTGTGGGCTTCGGTTTTACCGTTATATCAACTGTCTCTGTAACGTTTTGGAAAAAAAGGAATTACAAACTCGGGGTATACACAACTGGGGCTACTTACTTGGTGGTGATTCATATGGGTAACTTTTCATGGCCAATATGCGAAATCTGCCCTGTTCATCGGTGGCATAGACAGTCACATGGTAAATGCCATCGGCCGTTATGAAACCAAATTCTCCCATAACAATGCCTTTCTCATCTGCCAAAAGAACACATTCATTATCAACAAAATTGATCGAAACATATTTTGCAAATTTGAAAAAAAAAATTATTTATGAAATGTATGAAACACATGCCCATTATGAATATTGAAATAATAACAATAAATTTCATAACATTTGTATTATTTTTCAAAAATAAAAATACATAAATTATTCTATGGATCGATCAAAACTAAACTCGATATACCAGATTTAATTTTTGTGTTTCCTTCGAATAGCCACTAATTGGCTATGAAAGGTGCTTTGGATTAAATGAACTTTAAATAAGCTGAGATGATCGGAACATGTTCGGTTCAAGTTTTCAATAATAAAATCAGAATTATGAAAACTTATTATTTTACTTTCTATGGTCATAATTTATGGCTATTAGAGGATTTTAACAGGTGATGATGGTGAGGGGTCCGTTAGACAGTTACCTGTTTTTTTTCTCGGTTGGTCTGAACTGAATATTTATTCCATAAAAAACAACAAAATTTGTGTTTGATTTTTAAAGTCAAAATCAATACAAAAAAATAATAATCTATTCATAAATGGAGCATAAAAACGAACATAATATTTAATTTATAATCATATTCTTAATTAAATTGATACCATAAAATATTATTTATTGATATGACAACGAGGCACATGTCTCGAAAATCAAAAATTTTTAACTATTAATAGCTTTACTGGATTGGTTTTAGCGGTGGCAAAATTGGAAGATATGACGTTTGATTTTAGGTGTAATGAATTCAGAATATTAATTGAAAGAAATAAAAACTTTTTTGGTATACCCTTTAAAATACCTAAAATCGATCAGGAGATATATATTAAGGTTATTGTACCTTTCATATGATTTAATTTTATTTAAATATCTACAACGCCGTGGATGCGATCTTAAAATGGATATGGACGAAATACTTAATTTTTGTCTAGTTTTCTGGTCGCTCCAGAGACCGCATTTATGGCCCATACATCGAGAATTATATATAAAGTAGAGGATCGGGCCAAAAAAGAATCATGCCTATAAAGGTCGTTGAATATTTAGCGGGTCAAATGAACCCTCAATTTTATCGTATATACTTGGATGTGGTAGTTATATTTAAATATTTTCAGGTGCTTACGTATTCAGATATTATTTAGTAACGCAGGACGGAAATATAGCGCTGATAGCTTTGAAATTTTCCATGAGGATCCAGGTGTGGTCAAGGACAACGCTTATAATTGTCAATGCTGATCAGATAATGATATATGAATGAAGTGGACCGAAAACTTTTTTTTATTTTTTCGAGTCGATCTATAGGCCCAATTCAATGTGAATTGAATCTGGACAAATACTTAGAATCGATGTACTGAATATTAGTAATATTTCTTGACCTCTAGTCCGTTAAGAAATTGGAATATAGAACCACAGAATTTTAGATTTTCGTGGAAGTTGTGTAGGGTATCATATGGTCGGCTCCGTCCGACTATACTGCTCCGCTGCTCACTGTTTTTATACCCTCCACCATAGTATGGAGGGTATATTAGTTTTGTTTTTCCGTTTGTAACGCATCGAAATAATCATTTCCGACCCTATAAAGTATATTTATTCTTGATCAGCATACAATTCTATGACGATCTAAGCATATCCGTCTGTCTGTTGTAATCACTCTTGCGTCTAAACGAATTGAGATAGAACGCTAAAATTTTGCATAGAGTCGTCTTTTGTCTGCAGGCAGGTCAAGTTCGAAGATGGGCTATATTGGTCCACGTTTAGGCATAGCTCCCATATAAGGGTACCCCCCAATTTTCGGTATTTTAGGGTTCTTGAGCGCGGTTTTCAATCGAATTCGCTGAAATTGGGTACATTGGGTTCTTATTGGGTACCAAAATTCCCCACTAAAAATTATAAATATAGGTCCACTTTTTCTGATAGCCCCTATATAAGGGTACCTCCCTATTTTCTGTTTTTGGGGTGGTTTTGACCAGATTTTTTCACTGAATTGAATGTAATTTAGTAATTTGAGTTCTTATTGGGCAGCAAATCTCTCCACAAAAAAATTATAAATATAGGTCAATTTTTCCGGTAGCCACCATATAAGGGTACCCCCCAATTTTCGGTATTTTAGGGTTCTTGAGCGCGGTTTTCAACCGAATTCTCTGAAATTTGGTACATTGGGTTCTCATTGGGTACTAAATTTCCTCACTAAAAATTATAAATATAGGTCCACTTTTTCTGATAGCCCCCATATAAGGGTACCTCCCAATTTCCAGTTTTGGGGGGTTTTGACCGGATTTTTCACCGAATTTGCTGTATTTTAGTAATTTGAGTTCTTATTGGGCAGCAAATCTCTCCACAAAAAAATTATAAATATAGGTCAATTTTTTCGGGTAGACCCCATATAAGGGTACCCCCAATTTTCTATATTTTGAGGTTCTTGAGCGCATTTTTCAACCGAATTTGCTGAAATTTGGTATTTTGTAGTGGTATGTGGCAACAAATCTCCCCACCAACAATTATTAATATTCACCCCTGTTTAGGGGTAGTCCCCATATAACCCCCTTTTTTATATTAAAATAGTTAGCTGATTTGTTCCATGTGTTGGGATTGGGTAGTCGTTACGTGAAATAGTCAATTTCTACCCTACAAAGACGTTTTAAGCATCTGTTGTAAGCATTCCGTCTTCTAAGGATAAGAAAACTCAAACATGACAATAATGAAATATATCGGCAGACATATATCCTCAATATAGTGATACCTCCTGAAGGAAAGAATTGAGATAAACAATTAAAATATTGCGTTCAAAATTGGCATATACCGGTCATTAATTAGGTATAGCCCCCATATAATGATATCCCCAAATATTCACTACTTCCTACACTATGTAATCAATATTGGTCCCCCAATATCAGTATCAGTCCACTTTTTGGAGCTTACAGATTTTATGAAAAATCCCCATTTAAATTTCTGAAATTTGTATTTGTGTGTACATAATGGTTTACATAAATCGTTTTGTAGAATTATCGGTATATCCCCACTTTTTGGTATGTTTCCTATATTTTCATTGCACGTATCTGTCAGTATAACTATGGTGGAGGGTACCCAAAGTTCGGCCCGGCCGAACTTAACGCTTTTTCACTTGTTTTTTTAATTTTCTAATTTTTGAATATGAAACGTAATAATGAAGTTTGTTATAATTTCACTCTTCAATATTTGTAATATTTGTTTTTTTTTTAATTATTTGCTGGTCATAGTAAAGTAGATTATTTACTCTTTCATATGAGACCATTGTTGTTGAAATAACTGTTCAAAAGTTATGCGCTTTGAAGGTCGGACTTAAAACTTATTTCCAGGATTTAGATGGCGCTGCATTCACCAAATCGCCAGGCCGTTAGGGAAAATCAAGGTATGGTATAACTACAATAACTTTAAAATGAGCTAAGATATTTTTAAAAAATATAATGGTTATTTAAAGCTTAAAGGATCCTTTATTCCTACTTTTGAATTAGTATGTCTAAAAAAATCAAAATTGACAGTATTTTTACTTATGATTGGGATTTTACATTTATTTTACGGCACAGCGGGTAGCAATGTTTAAGCTTCTCATAATCGGTAAAATTTAGCAAATATCACAATTTGTTAAACAGTTATTTAAATTTACCGAATACCTTGTTTTTTTCTAACGATCTGATAATTTGGCAACCGCGGCGCCATCTATTGATGGTATAGATGGAATGAAGAAAATTATTTTACCACACAGCGGATCAGCGAGCTTTAAGCTGCACATGACCGTTTAAGTTTTCAAAAGATCACAATTCGTTCAGATTTTTTATCAGATTTTCCAAATAACTTGATTTTCACTAACGACTTGACGATTTGGCGAACACAGCGCCATCTATTGATGTAGTAGATTGAAATGGCGAAAATTAACAACTTAACGCCGTTTAAGTTTTCAAAAGATCACAATTCGTTCAGATTTTTTATCAGATTTTCCAAATAACTTGATTTTCACTTTTTGAAATGGCGAAAATTAACAACTTAACGCCTCGGTTTTTGTATCATAACTTTTAAACTACTTGAGGTATTGTAATAAAATTGGTGTCATATGAAAGCAGAGCTGTCCAGCTGTCTATTTCGAAATTTATTCGTAATTTCATGAAATATGAAATGTTGTATGTGGAAATTTAGTTATATTGTTTTGTGTGAAAATGATTACCTGAACTAGTTTTTTTTAATATTTATTTATTCGAGCAATTTTTTTTTAAGTTAAAGCCAGTGTAAGACTACTCTGAAACGAATGAAGGAAGGATAGGAAAAGGAGGACGGAGGCCACTCAACAACATATTAGACACAAGACATTTTCTTACGATTCTTTTTGTAACCGACAGTAATAAGAATTTGAACAATAGTATGGTAATACATAACTTATATCAGATTAGGTGGACCTCTGTAAATATTTACATATGACCTTTAGAGGTAAATTATACTCCATAGAATGCAAATTTTATAATATGGGTGCATTTGACCCGCAAAAGATTGACCGAAGAAATATCTATGATTGGTCCTTGGTCAGGCCCAATATTTCGCGGCGATAATAAAGTCTTGAGGCCACACAAGGCTATAATACCCTGACAACAAAGTTGTGTAGAGTATTAACATCAACTTCTTGATGTGTAGAACGCAATTTTGAATTTAAGCACCTACGATCGATCTCATACAATGTTTTTATTGATTTAAATTGTATTTATTATTTTTTTATTAGAAATGATAAATAATTATCTAAAAAGCAGCTGATCTACATTGAAATTTGTTTTGTTTATTTGTTATGAACAAATCGAACTAATAATCAATTTTTCAAGATCTGTGGCAATTGTCGATTAATTCTCTAGAAAATTAGACCAATTTAATGGAACCCGAAAAAATTGGAACTAGATAAACAGGTCAATTCTAATTTGGAGATACACAAATCGATGTCGTTTGTTTTGGTGGTGGGAGTAATTTATTCGAATCGTTCTA